TATATATATCTTTATAATTTTATTAATCAGATAATTTTACTTATAATTAAACCCAGAAATCGGAAACAACATATTATTAACACTCCTCGTAATCAACATCATTGCATGATGTACACATTTATTACACTTGCAATCTATTAAGATTAATTCTAACTCATTAGAATGTCTTCGTTGGTAATGCCATAGCTCGCATGGTTTTGAGTCGTGGAGATCAGATAAAAGCTTCGCACTTTCAACCTCAAGTTTGGGCTTCTAAATCTTAAGACTGATCCATATATAACATCGGACAAAACAAAAATCCAACAAATATATTAAACTTTTAAAATGTGTTTTTAGTTCATATAAAATGGTTGAATTTTGATTTGGGTTCTTAAATTTTAAAGAGAGAGAAAATAGAAACATTTATCCGGAAATCAAAAATCAGAACTTGCTCATTTTACATAAACTAACATATTTAAGTCAAATTTTAATTATGAAGCAACTCAACCATGATTGTCTAGAGGTTTTGGCTCACATAATCAGTCTTCCACGCCTGAAAAATCAAGCATGTTTCAAAGACACCTCATTGAAAGGTTATAATTAGTTTGATTAGTTTATTTATTTGAATTTTTTCTTGGAAGAGATGTTTAATGATACTATCAAGTTGGGAATGCAACACATTGTGCCATGTTTGTTGGTAGAAAATCCATGCAGCGGTGGAAAACTTGATTCGTTAGTGAGGATTTCCATTCTCTGATGTTTATTATTGTGTTAGATGCTAGCACTAGTATTAGCACTTTAGCTTGTTATAATTCTTATTGAGCTTCACTCATCTGAAATTGTCACCCGTCCGTGTTAGGAGTGTACAAAATAATCAAGCCATTCTCCATATATATTATTTATTAAATCTAGAAATTTTATTAATAAATTATTTTAAAACATACTTTTAAAGCAAAATAAAACACCAAACTAGCTCAAACTCGTCCTCAAAAAATACATCAAATCTAATTTCTAGAACCTGAACTTGTCAAAATAAACTTCAAACCATATCAGATTAGTAGCACAGGATAGTTCAGGAGCACCATTGTTAGACAACAACAATACTGAAGCAATGATGCGTCAGATAGAATGAGAGGAGACACATAATAATGCATATCCTTAGGCATCTTCTGGGTGAATATTAACTCTACCATGACACAGTTATTCCCCAGTATTCTAACAGATTGAAGCTTAAAAGCTTTACAAGAATGGGCTTATGCCAGAAATTACAGCTTTAAGTAGAAAGAAAATATGTGATAAATTCAAGGGGGAGAGGTTTTCTAAGGTGTAAGGTCTAAAGTTTACCTAACATGGCCATTGGGGCATTTTGCAAAGGATACTTTCTGCCTATACAGCCCCCCCATTAAAAAAGAAAAGAATAGAAGATTCTTTATGATGCCTTGTTGCACCTCAACAACTCTACAAATCAACGACCAGAAGCAAATAATGAATTGGTTACCTGGTTCCCTTCAGCTTGAAGCCTTCTCATTTTTGCCTTATCCAAACGTGCCCGTCTAACTGCCTCTTGAATTTGGCGGTCATGGTCTTTCAACATCTGATCCATGTTGCTTGATGGAACCAGCAATGGACCAGAATAGTGGATTTTATGACCCTTTGCCCCATAACCAACCTGCACCATTGTGAGGGGAAGGAAAAATGAGCACAAGAAATGTAGACCAAACTGAAACGCAAACAATGTCAATAATGAATGGCATTAGATCAACCTAACAATCAGTGGAAAATAATATACAAAAACAAATTATACGGTTCAATAACCATAAAAAAAAAAAAAAGCCTTATTACACTAAGATTCGCTACATGGAAAACACGATGGAACAAAGAATGATACGGCTCAAGATGGAACAAATAGAATTGTAAAGTTAAAGCAATGTTTGGATTATTGTTTAACTATGTCAAAAGCACACTCATACCATATATAGATGATTTAACTTAAAAAAATCATATTTGTTTTTTTACTCAAACGTGATTATGACATTATGTCCCTTAAAGCACATTTGACTAATCTAGCCTTTTTGGTTGAGAAAGTTATACTGAATTTTACTATGAAAAACCAACTTACATTTGAGATAAAAGTTTTCACAGTTCAAATTCAATTTTAACCAAAATCAATTTTGCACCATCAAATTCATCTAAAATCAAGTTTACCTAAATACACCACAACAGAACAGATAAAGGTAGAAGTCAAACTACTTACAAGAACTAGGTCTTTGTTGCTGCTTCTCCCTTCTTCGTTTTGGGAAGTGCCTACTTGGCCCTGTACATGATGCCTTTGATCTTGTTGTATCGATGATTCAGAGACATCCTTGAATGATCCAGGGAATCTGTTTATTAGTTTTGAAGCCTCCATTTGTGATGATCCAGACCTTTCTCTGTGATCATCTGACAACATACTGGTGGCTGAAACCAAGCCTGAAGTTGTTGATAGATCGCCCCCAACTGAAATATTAGGAGCCTCATCCTGGTTCTTCCCAGCTTTAGCCCATGCAGTGCGGTGAGCCAGTGGACCAGAATGAGAGGCTCTTTTATGTTGCGGTACCTGAGGTCCCATGCCTACTTCTACAGCTTGTGATGATCTAGGGGGATCGATGGGAAATCCAGAAGCTTCTTCAGGATGAGGATTAAACTTCTCACTTCTGCTTTTTGATTGAGCCATACTTTGTCTCTTCTGTAAGATGAGGTTATTTAAGGTTTTGACACAAGAAAAGTGGTATAACAAAAAAGAGTATAAAAGCTATCCTCACAGGATGCAAATATGACATTCAAAAGGGAAGCTGAAATAAGATTCAATAATTCAACCTTCAAGCACCCTTTCTCTTTTTTTCCATTTTATTTTAGTTCTTAAGATGCCATGCAGATAGTTATTGTTGGGATATAAACAAGAGCAAATCCAAAAGGATATTCATGCATTGACAAGATCATTAGGGTAGTAAACATGAAAGAGCAAATACAGAAGGGTACCTGCATTGACAGGGGCAGTTCAGCATTGGCATCTGGTGCAGGGACAGCTCGAGATTCTCTTGCTACTCTTCTTTCAAGGTCGTGTCTTTGGCCCTTACCTGCTGCTGCCCCTTGTCTGCTAAAATCAGAAAACCAAAATCAAAAATCTAACAGTTAACTTTACGAGCTAGAAATCAAAGTGAATAATGCCATAAGAAAATACTACAGTGGAACTAAAAAGCATGATTAACAAGCAATCAAGCATCAATCTGTTCAGAAAAATTGGATAAATTCCAGGCTATTCATTGAATGGTTTAATATAAACCTATGTCATGAGCATATGAAACATCATGCCCAGTTCATATTGGGATAGCCAGACACGCTGACAATATAATATATTTAACAGTTTCCAAGAAGAATATGAATACAGCTTCTCAGAAGTTGGAAACAACTTGTGTTTTCTGAGTTTTTTAGGGGAAGTGGAAGGTTTAATCTAAAAATTAAATCTAGAGAACAACTGTTCCTCTTTTTTCCAATTGCTAAAATTTGATCAACAAATACACAGCCATTATATTTTGAAAAGAAAGAACCAAACAAATACAAAATGCAACAAGAATAATTGAAGAATTTAATTAGAAGATAAAAGAACTTTGAAAGCTTAAACATAAAAACACACATGAAGAGGCAGTGAGGCACCCCTTCAGAACTGAATATTGCTAATGCATTAGGCAAATGCCAACCTTATATAACAAACATATAACCACCCTATTACTGAAAACACACCTTCTTGCTTGTTCATCCCGTAGTTTGGCATCAAATTCTTTGCTAGGAGGATACTTTGGCAAACTTGAAGGATCACAAGGTAGAGGCTTTGTCGTGAAGAACTAAATAGCAAGTACACCAAAAGGAGACAATCAAGACCAATGCATATTGAATTATCAAAATCAATAATATACATCCAAAATAAAAGAGAAATTAATGCAACAATGAACTTGAGTAAGAGACAATGAATAAATAAACAACATGTTATAAATATATCAATTAGTTGATATACAAATGAATGTTCTACTGTATTAAGATCTTGGAGACAATACTGATGGGGACTTACAATAATAGCAATGGTAAAGAGACAGTACAGGAGCAGCAATTTGATCAAAACAATAATACACAAAAATTTAAGGTTGAAATATAACTTAAACTGATGCTTTTATACAAACATGAACATCCATTTTGTATTATATGCATTGTGTGTTAGAAACATATGGACATCTGGTATTAGTAGCAAAGAATGAACATAAATCAGATTATATTACGTCTTCAAAATTCATCATGAATTTCACACCTCACTCTTCAAAGCAGATGCTGCACTTCCACGATCAGCAGGATCTATGGACAAAAGAGTCTCCATGAGTGCTAAAGCAGGTGCAGGGAAGTCCTTGAATGTGTCGGCAACACATTGCCTGTAGGGTTGTTGGGGCTTAAATATTGTTGCATGGGGCAACTTTGATTTTCTCCAATAATCCTCAGAAGGTGAACCACAAAGTTTAAAAATTTTATGTAACTGCTCCACCTACTAGATAGAAAAGTACCTTTTAATCATCTAATTAATACAAGTGTACAACCAGACTATTGACACACAAAACATACAGAGGAGCATTAACTGGAATTTGTAGTGAACATAATATTTATCTGTTTTGTTAGGCATTACTGATATTCCCTTGTGAACCCATCTTAATTAATGCTAAAGAATGGTTCAAAAGCCACCACATATAATACAAAAGTATATTCTAAAATTTCTTATCCCACCTATGAAGAACGAAAGTATCAGCAATACACCATATACATTTAACAAACGATTTATGATGGAACATTAATATTAGTAAAATATGGTGTCTATAGACATGATTTATCATAGAGTTATGGCATTGTAAGATTCATATAGGCCACTCCACATAAGGGAAAGGGTTGCTAGGTTGTTGTTGTAATTGTTCCAAAGCCACCACACATAATAATTCATACACAAGTATAATCTAAAATTACTTACCCACTTATGAAGAACAAATATTCAGTGATCCATAGATATTTAACAGATGAAAGGAAGAAATAAATTGCCACATTTTAACATAAACATTTAAGTTCTTATACCTCAGTTCTCCCAGGCATTATAGGTTTGCCAGCATACAGCTCAGCAAGTATGCAACCTGTACTCCATAAATCTACAGCAGTGCCATAGTGTGTAGCACCCAGTAAAAGCTCTGGTGGGCGGTACCAAAGAGTGACAACTCGGCTTGTCAAAGGCTGAGTTTGATTGGGATCAAAAACACTTGCCAAACCAAAGTCTGCAATCTTCAAGATTCCGTTGTTGTCAATCAAAAGGTTGGAACCCTTAATGTCACGGTGCAGCACACCACAGCTATGGCAGTGATCAAGTCCACGTAAAAGTTGCTGCATGTAACATTTAACCTGCCAAGTTCCAATGAGAAATTAATCTTTGCTTGAATTTTGTGGCCAACTGGCCGTGTAGCATTTCATCTTTAACTAGGATTGTTTACAAGATATCTCGTATTTTATAGTTTACTTTCTTATCCCAAAATAAAATAAACTAAGTAGTTAAAGCTTGGTTATCATTTTTTGGTCTTCTTTTATTACCCTTTCTTGTAGTTTGTTCCTCTTTTTCAATATATTCATTTTCAATTTCAATCCCAAAAATAAAAATAGGAATTAAAGCTCTGTGATTATCAGAATGAGTGTCTTTAACTATTAGCTTAAAAGTTAAGGAGAAACTTCATTTTGTTGAATATCAGATTACACACAGCAATAAGATGCAGCAAGATTTTTCTTGGAATATGCCATAAGCTACTTTTTTTGTAAAACGGAAGGAAAGAAGTAAAACAAAAAAGAAGCTTTAAAAATTACCTGTGCTTCTGTAAACTTCACTCCAGGATGTGACGCTAGCCCAGCCAAGTCATGCTCCATGTATTCGAAAACAAGGTATAAGCTGCAAGACATCCTTGATGTAACCAGGCCTTCCAGTTTTATGACATTTGGATGATCAAGCCTACGTAGAATGTGAATTTCCCTTGCCATGAAGCGAACACTCTCTGGCTCAAGATTATCAAACCTCACTTTTTTCAAAGCAACAACTTTCTTTTGCTCAAGATCACGAGCCCTATAAACATTACTGTAAGTTCCCTGTCCAATCTGGGGAAAAAAAAAATAGAAGGAATTTTTTTATCATTCATGGAAAAATAAACAAGGCTGTAGATAATAATATCATTTAGTTAATTGAAATAATGGAGAAAAAAAAGGACATCTAACTATAAATCTAGAAACTAAAGTAAAAAGCGCCAAATTTAACTCAATTTTTTGTTGCATGCATCAGAGGGTAAAATCAAGGATATTAAAACGCAAACAGAAGCAGAATTGTAGTAGGTCCAAATTCAAGGTATCTTGGCCTTACTGAAGAAAAGTAAAAAATGATACATAACATTATTAGCTTCTTAAATTCAATCACTAACAACTATCAAGAATTTTGTAAGAAATGATATTATGTGAGTATAATATTCAAATACAGTTTAAAAATGATAGGTCGTGTATACGAGGGTTATAATCAAACAACAACAACAATATACATTAGGTAAGCCCCACCACCATGGCAACTATTATCCTCAAAACCAAAGGCAGTGCAAAGTTGGCAACTCGTTTTCCTAACTGTCATCCCTAGCATACAGCAAAGTTTGGAAACAGCTAATCAAAGAAGAAAGAGATGGGGGAGAAGGTGAAGGTGAAGGAAAAACAAATTTAACAGTTAACAGATTAAGAAAACCAATCAGAAAATTCAACACTTAAATCAATGTTCTAACAGCAACTAGAATATCTACATCTAACAAAAGCAATGGCAAAATTCCAGTGACACCAGATCAAGAAAGAAACATACTTTATCCAATTTCTCGAAAGAATCTGCACGGCGCGGCAACCATCCATTGACAGCCTCTCCAGCCACTGCTGCCAGCCAAGATGGCCATCCAGCTGCAACCTGCTCCCCTTCCATGGCCTTGGGAACACTGCCAGCACCCGGATGTGGTTGAGCAGCAACACACTCCATTCTCTCCCTCTTCCTCTCAACATTATCGCCTTGCAACCCCAAGGAACCATTCTCATGCTTATCAATCAAAGCAGTTCTCAAATCATTACCATCACATTTATCCTTCACCCTATACGCATCCTCCCTCCTCGATGAAGCACCCCTCAACACATGAGAGTCCATCGGAGCCTTGCTCGACAATCTCTCCCTTGGACTCTCCTTGCTATCCTCAATGGCAGAGGGCTTGCAACAGACACAACCCATTATGCACAACAAACAAACCCCTCCCACAAAAGCCAAGTTTCAAATCTCAATGCTTCTCACCTCACCCCTTCAATTACATTCCTACAATACTATACTAGCATCCCCATCTTCACTTCACTTCACTCCCATAACCACCAATATTACCACACATTCAAACAAAGCCAAATTGTAACAGTAGCAATAATTACATCAATATTTTGATAACCCCAAATGTGATCCCAGATTAGTCAATCCACAAAAACTCAATAACCTGATCAAACAGATTACAATCTTAAATTCAACAAAGCAAACCTCGGAAATCTTCAAAATAGTAATAATAATAATAATAAAAAAAATATATTTTTTTTACACAGCGGAATGATTTACCCAATGAAATACCGGTGGTTTATGAACCGGGAAGCATCAAAGTTTGCAAATTTAGAATGTAAGAGAGCGTGGAATACTAACAGGAAGGTGTTCACAAGTTACAAGCTTTTGGGTGGGAGTGAGTTTGCAAAGGTGTGAATGTGGGGCCCACATGAGGCTTTCCCAGTACCCAGACAAGCAGAGAGGGAAAAGGATAACACTGAAACTCAGCAACAGTGAAACACATGCAAAGTTTGGACTGAGAAGCCATGGATCTAGGGCACCATCACAAGGATTTCAGAGAGAGAACAGAAGACAGTGTTTCATGATACGATGAAACATGTTACTAGAATACCATAAATGAAATTTAGTATTTAATTGCTAATCATATGGTTTATTTGATATGGTGGTGTCTAAATTATTAATGATATGCCTATTATTAAAATAAATTTAAGGACCAACACTATGATACATGTAGCAGTCACAAAAAAATTATTGAGGGTTCGAGTCTTAGTATTTAGTATGGATTAAATTATTGAGATTTCAGCATTTACTATTTTCGAAGACGAATATTTCATTTCAAAATACACGGTTAAAAAAATGAGTAAGTAAGAAGGTTTGAGAATCAAGTTGTTTTGTAGTATACTCTAGCAAAATAAAAATAAAAAAAGCTCGAATTTTTTTATATTGTGGTGTCGGGTTTAATTATTTTTTTCTAGAACAAATATATCTAAAGTTCTTCTTACAATATTTAAAATAATTACACATGAGAATTTAAAATTACTGATTTGGAACAATTTTATGATCGTTAATCTGCAAGTTTAAGTGAATGTAGTATGTACCAAATTTTTTTTTTGCATTTTTTTATTTATAAAAAGTGTGGTTTTAATTTTAATATTAAGGTGTGTGAAATAACGAATATCGGAAAATGTGCATGTTTCGTAATAATCTTGTCTGCATTTCAAGGATTTGATATTTCACTTACTAGGAAGATAGTACTGCTTGATTAAGTAATATAAAAAGGTCAGAAAAAATATATATTAGTTTTTAGTTTAACATTTAATGCTTAAAAATTATATTCAACCTTTATCTGTTCGAGTTGAATTAAGAATTTATAAAAATAAATTATAAACAATTTATAACCTTTAAAACTCCAATTAAAAAATTTATTCAAGAAAAACTATTTAAAAAATCACATTATTCTAATCTGATTTGAATTGATAAAATTAATTTATAAGGGTAATTTTTTAATATTGAGTTATTTTATTCATTAAACGTAAACCTTAGACTTTAGTCAATAATAAGAACAAATTCTTACTAACTATTTGAATTGAATAAAAAAATTAAAAGATAAACTTTTTATGATAATACTTTTCATTTATATATCCATAACTCAAAATTTTATTAAAAATTAGTTCATTTTACAGTTAAATAAAATTATTTTTTATGATAATATTAATAAGAGTATTTAGTTGAAAACTATTTTTTTTAAATCTTGACTTCATTAAAATTATTATTTTCAACATCATTTTTTTATCAAATTACTTTAAAATGACTAAATATAATTAAAATGTATATTGAAATTTCTTATTTAAAAATTTGTATTAAAATAAATATGTTATATTAAAAAAAATAATGCTAAGATAGAAGACCTAAAAAGAGGAGGAAAAGCATGACCTAACTAACAACCGTTGGTAGAGGTTGGCATTGCCAAGAGGAGTGTCCCTTTCACGTGGCACGTTACACCTTTCACTCAAAAGAGAGAGAATAATATAATTAATATTCAAAATAAATATATATTATATCATTTATCAGTTACGAAGTGAAATGAAACCTTGACCCCACGCGCTCTCAATAGTCCATAATTAAAATTTACGCACTGCATTAATTTATTTTATAATTTTATTAAAATGCAAAAAATAAGGCACTTTTATTCGATTATGGATTATTAAATATAGTTAAATTATTTATTTTATAATAATTATTTTAAAATATATTCATATTATTTTTAATTAAGTAATAAGATAATTTTTTTTTTGCATTGATAATGATCCCGTTTGTTTATTGTTTTTAAAGTACTTTAAAGAAAAGTATTTATGAGAATTTTAGTGATATTTTTGTAAACTTATTCATTTTTTTAATATTTAGAAGTATAAGGAAAACTGAAAACTGATTTTTTTTTCCGAAGCAACTTCTAAAAAATTGTAATTTCTAGATAGAAATGGTGTAAAAAGGTACTTTTATATTATAACTAAATATAGATATTTTTTTATTTATATAAAAATACTTATTTTTAAATCATTAATTTAAGCATAATCAATAAGATTTAGAATTCATTTAGATACAAGTTAAAAATATTTTTTAAAATTTTTCTATTAAAAGTATTTTTCAGTAGAGAAACTTCCATAAATGTTTATAAATTTGTATCTAAACATGTTTTAAATATATTAAGTTAATGATATTAAGTTTGAATTTTGACAATATATTTGTTTTAAATACTTAGAGAAGGTTTTTTTTTTAAAAAAAAAATTTAGTAGTAAGAATTACAATGATGGAATAAGAGTTTAACCTAAAACTCTATAGATACTACTTTATTTTTTATTATTAAATTGATTCTAATAGTTATTGAACTTTGTCATATATAATATAGTTGACCTAGTGATGAAAATTGTAATAACATGTACAAAGTCTTTAATTTAAATCTTGTTATAATCATTGTAATTTCTCCTAATTAAAAAAAAAGTGATTAAATAGATAGTATAAACTTTTCTAAAATAAATTATAATACTCTATTTTTAATATCAAATAACTAAACTAATACCAATTTATTCAATTTACAATCAATATGTTGGTATAAGGTATTAACATCACATGCATACATGTAACACACACAAAAAAAAAGGAATTAATTAAAAAAAATGTCATTATGAGTGAGGTACGTGTGGAGCCACGCGCTTGAAACCATGGTGCCATTGGTGCATTTTACGTAGGGTGGCTGGCTTTTCAATGCTTTCATGAGCCATGCTCTTAAATTTTATTTGGTCAAAGAAATAGAATTATCATGCAATCACTCATTGCCCCAAAAGGTTATTATTCCAAAACTGTTAGGTTCATTAGGTTATTATGCTACAAGTTCTAACACACCTAATAAATAGTTTTTTTTATTTTTTTTTTATGCAATCACTTATTAGTACGAAATATTCACATTTATAACTTTTCCTTTTTGTAAGAAGAATATTCATGGATCATTTTGGCTTAGCACATCCCTTGCCACGTCCTTTTCAAATTTAGGTGTCACGCATCCAACCTACTTAACTTGTTTTCGTTTTCACCTTTTTTCCCTTGTTTATTTTCCAAGAACAAACCCTATGCATTTGGCTTTTTGTGAACTTCTATAAGCAAAAGAAAGTTTAATCTTATTTGAAGGAATGTTCTCTATTGTGTATATCAATTTGCATTCGGTAAGTAAGAATGTTACCAATCAAAATTATTGATGTGATGATAGTACGAAATTATACAAGAGAATTGTATGGTTGTAAATTAGGTAGTATTGGAACATTTATGATTTGGGCGGGTACTTATGAATTTAATATTATGAAATTAATGGTAAAAATAAATTTAATGTAAGGTTTTTTTAGGTCCTTTTTGTTTAAAAATAATTTTGACGGAATTACATATGGTATTTAAATATTTTTAATCAAAATGTTTTTTTTAGGTATAGATAACAATTAAAATAAATTTAGATATATCCATATTTCTTATTCATGTAGGGAACTTAGCAAAAGTAGAAAGTAAGTTATATTATTTTAAACTCTGAAAATGCAAGTATTGTAATCAAAATATAGGGAGGTTTAGTTTCGAATTTCAATGTCATTATTGTAATTTTGGATGAAAAAAATATGAGGGTTAATAACTAACAAACTTTGATTTTAAAAATGTCCTACTTTCAAAGAGAAAATTACTTCACAACAATTTGAGGTTGAGAAACAAGAAACTAAACATATATAACTTCTAATAAAAGGACTTTAAAAAAAATTATATATATATATATATATATATATATATCAACTTCAAAAAATAATTTTAAAGAACAGACTGAGAAATTATTATTTTCAAAATTGAAGAACAATAAAGATTTTCACAAAGAAGACATAACATTGTATGTAATTTAGAAACAAATGATAGACGTGTATATGATTGGCAAAATATGAATTGACTTATATATAAACCTTCTAATAAAAGTAAAATAGGCGATCTCTATATCCTTTAACATGTGACTTGTGTTAAGGAAATAATTTGAAAATTTCCAAGTATTTGAATAGTCATTAGAAACTCTTCCCAATCCATGTTCTTGTTGGTTGTTCCTTTTCAATGGACAATTAATCTTCCAATAATTATTCAGATGAGAATAACCTCCTATATATATCTTTTGATTTTGGGTAACAGGTGTTGAATCACAACATGTCTAAAACCTTATACGATAAGATGAACCTTATGAAAATAAAATAAAAAAAATGCATTTATTATGCGTGCAAGTTATGATCAAGAAAAGGCTATAATGTCTATTGAAGAAGGGTATTCATATTCATGTTTTTATCATCTAATATGGATACACTATTTATTACTTGAATATGTCATGAGAAAGTCTAACCCATTCTATTTGGATCGGACTTCGTATAGAAAATAAAAGGGTAAACGTGATTATCTTTTTGCCATATATGCAAATGAGAATAACCTCCAATAAATCAATTTATGTGATACAATAAATCAGGGCCAACATCTAACACTAATAAGGCCAAAATCGTGCATAAAATGATTCTATATAAATATTTGACTTGTCATACTTTATATCCCGAACATCAACACTCATAAATAAATAAGATAAATTTTTAATAGATATAAAAGAACTTTAATATAAAAGAAAAATAGTTTGCAAATTACCTCTAAGAAAAGGAGAAGTTATATATGTTCCAACTTAAAAATAAACACTTAAACAAAAGAAATACAAAATTTAACAAAATAATTCCATAGTTAATAGGAATTTACTACAACACCAAAAACAATTATACAATCTATAAACATAATAAAGATTTCTAAGAAATAAAAATTTTAATCTAAGGATCTCTATGACACTCTTTACTCCACTTACATTATATTAATAATATAGTACTAATTTAGGCTAAAATTCAAGATAAAAGTATCACATCAAACAGAACTCAATGTTAAATAAAACCAAATTTTTTGAAAACAATTATAAGAATTAAAATGATTCCAACTAAATAAGTCTAGATCTATAATTTAAAAGCTAATAGAAAATAAATTTCCTAACTAAGTTCTGATGTCACATCTTATAAGAGTTTTTTCAA